AAAAACTAAAAAAATAGAATTACCCGTAAAACCTCGCGACAATCTCGAATTAAAGGCGCTAATTTTTGTGGTCGCAATAGTTCGTTTTATTTTCGTTTCGAATAAATTTCGGATGAAGACTGTCCGATCGGCGCAATTTCAAATGGCCGCATAATATTATCAAAATCGCGCGGTTTATTTTTTGCGGTGACGGACAACGGACGGAGGACCGACGATGCCACTGAGTTGCGCTGGCGCGCGCGTTTTTTTCCTGCTGTTGTAGACGCTGCTTTCGCACTATTGTTGTTAGATCACTAGCTGAAAACCAGTTGACTCGACGAATAAAAAGCGGTTCTTTCGGTACGTTCTTCTCAAATGTTGACTCGCCTCTTACGGAGGACCATTACTGGTATTATGAACTCGGAATTTTTATGACAAAGTAAAGATGGATATAAAGAAACGCAATATGATACTATATGCAGCTAATTTTTTGCAAAGTGCTTATTCAGAAATCATCGTCTATTTTGCAAAAATGCAAGAAACCATGAACATTATAGGACCGAAATGTTTGACGAATGGACCGTTATTCACATATATTTAGGTTATTCATCAGTGAATAGATTTATTCTTTCCTTTTTTGATAAAACTAATATTTTTTATTCTTCTTCTTCTTCTTCTTAGATCGCCGTCCCCCTTCGGAGATTGGCTATTCAACTGGGCGTGACCACTGCACCTTAAAAAAATTCAACAGATGTTTTTCCGAACCAACCACGCAGATCCCTAACCCAGGAGTTTTGCCATCTTCCCACTGATCTCCTGCCTTCAATTTTATCTTCAATGACCATCAGGCACCCCTCCTGATGTGGCCGACGTACTGTAACTTTCTTTCCTTAATTGTTGCTAGGTGCTCTTTATCTCTGTCCATCCGCCTGAGCATCTCCTCATTTGTTACTCTGTCCATCCAGGATCCTCAAAAGCGTTAATGCGACTTTCCAATGGTGTTGAGTGTTCAACTCTGATTGAGTGTCCAACTCTCAGAGCCTTAGAGAAATCCTGGAAAGATGTAACAAAGCAGCATACGTATGCACAGGTCGAGGCTTAGATCTCGGCTAGTAGAGGGTTTTCATGCATGGAGGCAAAAGTACGTCTGGTCTGTTCAATCTTCGCCAAAATTTCAGCTTTGAGGTCGCAAGCGTCGTTAGATATTTTATGGACAATATTTGTTCTATCACCTTGTTGCTAATTCAGCCTTTTTTTCAGCCTCTAGAGGACAGCCTTTTCCGACGTTTTGGAAAATACAACAAGTTTAGTTTTGTTGATATTGATGTGTAATCCGTACTGCATGCTATGTTCAACAACGCAGTCCATCATGTTCTGAAGGTGTAGAATGTTGCCAGCTAGTATGACCGTATCATCCGCGAAATGAATATTGTAAATTAGGATACCATTGATTTTAATACCATCGTCAGCACTCTCTAATGCCTCATGGGATAATATTTTATTACGGAATAATTTTCTTTTTGGTCACTAAGGGTTGACAAATGGAGAGAGGTTCACCCATGGTTCACCTAGCTAACACAGAATTAAGACCTAGCAGTAGCAACAGCACTAAAGCAAAGTATAATGCCTCAGTGTTGAGATCACACCTACAGAGGATGGCACTGGTGGAAGATGCCAATGCTGACTTTGTATGGAAAATGACGAAACCATGAAACACGTTCTGTTTGAGGCGTTTGGCAAAATTATACTAGACCTATCAGACCTAGGAGGCATATCACCTCGGACATAACAGCCTATATTAAAGTCCAACCTTTAAGGTGAGGGTGAACTTTAACAATCTTTTTTGTGTAAAGACTGAGCCACAATAGTCTCTCGTGGCCGCAATCCCAGGTCTCTTACTAAATACCCACTCTTACTAAATACAAATACAATACTGCCTCAGTATACTGTACTCAAGCAAAAATGAGGAAAGAGCATCTGAAGGAAATAGTGTTTAGGTGTTTCCAGCAAAACGTACCCCTATGAAGATAGCACCTTAATGTGCTATCTAATCTATTAATTGTGCCTTCTTCAAGGAAGAAGAAGTGCCTAACAACAAGAAAACAAAATCAACTAACTGTAAAATGAAAAAAAACCCGCTATAGTAAAAAGCAGAAAAGCGACATAGTCGGCGACAAAGAATAAGAGTTCCCTGCATTTTTATCAGATCAAGAAAAATCAAATATTTTCCTTGGTTTAAGTAATAACCTCAAGTAAGTCTCCTCCATGAATACCTTAGTATATATTAAAGCTAAGAAACAACGGCGAATGCATTCTGTGGGAAAATGGAGTAATACCAGAACATCTTATCACTGAGTGCACCGAGACGACCATTCGTGTCATAAACTTTAGTACGACCGATATCGGAGATGGAGAAATAACCTTTGTAAAACTGTCTCAGATACTGGCTTTCGTCAAAGCCCTGAGAGTGTATGATGAGATATAACTCAAGAAACGGGGACACAATAGATCTATAATCCTCGCGGTGATCAACTTCCCCCTCACAGCCAACATCTACATCTCTCAGTTTTGAAGGTGACTCCCTCATCAAACGTGATGGAGATTGAATAAGCTGGGAAGTCTGATGCATTTGCTACTTCTTTACCTCCAGACTCCCAAAATATGTGTAAGTGTCAATGATTCTCACGCAACAAATAACAAGTCCGGACGTCACCATTGTATAGTCCCCGCTTCTAAAGAGGAACCCACCGCGTCATAACACGACTGCATAACGACCGCCCGCGCCCTTTGCTTGCGTTTGGAGATTTCGCTGATCCATAATCGTCAGTTTAGATCATTCAATTATTCCACTGCTATAAAATGATATTTCGAATTATTTCGCATTGTGTTGTCTAACGCCGCGCCGACGACGAGGCGTTCACGTGAAAAAGATTGATGACACGCTTGACCTTTTCTTTAGATGTTGACCGCATCTATCTAATATCGTGTATATTTGGATTGTCATGAAAATTCCGGCCTAATGTATCCGTGTAGCTGGTAGCTTAGGCTTAGATGATAAGCATCTTCCACAGATCATTAGCAACCAATGAGGGCTTTGTCTTGGAGACTATAAGTAGTTCCGGACTACTGGTATACCCCTTCACACTCTCCATAGATCAATGATACTTGGTTTCTCCACGGTACTATACAATAAGAATTAACATATATCTACTGAACAAAATATGCAGTACAGTACATTAGGCTTCATTTTGCCTGAATAGAGTTAGATTATAAAATTAGATTAAGTATACCTTTATAATTAAATATACTTAGCTAACAACAGAATAAATATTTATAGTGAATACTAAATTATTACCTGCATTAGCACATAAGGTATACAGTAAAAATTTACTATTTTTTGTTGAAGTTTCATAATGTGTTTCGAAGAAATAAAAAATACAATTTTTATTATTTAAATATGCACGAAAAACATTAATCTTCTTAACAGTCGCGTAGGTGGATTCAGTGGATGAGTTCATTGATAGTTATATTAATTTGCATAAATACTTACGCTCCAAAGTTACAATGGCGTAGGTATTCAGAATTTGCTTCTGGGAGCTATTTTGCAATATAATATTGTTTTCTCTTTAGAACAATAAATTTCAATACTCTCTTTTCATTCTATTTTTTATATATTTCTAAAATCTGGTAAAATTATTTGAAAAATTAAATATCAATTTGAGACCTAATTCTTTTCTATCTCCTAAAACGTTCACTAATGATTTTGTGCTAGAACCAATCGCTAGTTTTTGGAGAGCTGCAATTGGGTATAATTTTAACTTCTTGTATGACAGTGCACCTCCCCATACCAGCAGAGTAACTAGAGAATGCCTTGAAACGGAAGGTGTCATAGTTTTGGACTGGCCTGCATGTTCACCAGATCTAAACCCTATCGAACACTTGTGGGACTAGCTCCAAAGAAAGGTTAGAGCTCGTCGAAGGAAGGAAATCTTGCACAGCTTATTGATGCAGCATTTGCAGAATGGGAAAACATACCCCAAGACAACATGGATAATTTAATAAGAAGCATGTCAGTGCGGATAGAAGTTTGCATAAGGGCTGGTGGTGGCAACAAGGAATATTAGAATTATCAATTTTCTTTTTGTTTTTGCTTTTTGGCCATTAAAAATTTAAATCTTAATTTCGTTTTAGAAAACAAAAAAATACAGTTTTATTTATTTTGCGAACTGATTATTTTTTTTATTGCTATATGGATTATTTTTGATTAAAAGTCATTGGTAAGGACTGAGTTTTATTAATAAACACAACATTTTTTCATACGCCTCAAAAATTATGAAAAATAATAGATGATTCCATATAAGTTTGGTTGTGTGTAGTTTCAAAAAGTTGAAAAAAGTAATAAAATTAAAAATTAATAAATAATTTGACTCGCTTTCACAAAACCTGTATTAAAATGATCATCCGTCAAATCTTTTCACAATATAATCTAAATATTGCTTACTATATCTAGTGCGCATAATAAAATATGTACATATTATACACATGGTGCTAGACCGAAAAAAAAAATTATATAATATCAGAATCTGGGATTATCCTTTTCAGACCCCCCTCTACGCAGAACCCTATCAACAAAATTTGATTCAATTTCTCTCTCAACGACAGAATTTTGACAGGCAACATCCAGGAGATGATAATACAATCAATTCTCTTTCCGCAACAGACATATTCTAAACGTAATCGACGATACTGTCACTCCCCAAATAATTTTTTAGGCCTCATATTTCTAGCCGCTAGACTGTTAGACTATAGAATCTAGATTATCCCTTTAGTTTGGTTTGGTCCAATGATAGACAACATCCATGAGATGATGAGAAATACAATATAATTTTGAATTAAAATGTTAGATAACTGACACTGTTTCCCTGAATATGATAAAAGGGTTTAATATACTTAACTAACTAATGTTTCTTACAACTATTATTTCTTTAAATTACTGATGAAATAAAAGACATTTTTCTTACTTGTGTTGTTTATTTCCATATAGGTTACTTACGAAGTAAATTATTAACTGACCATTAATTGAAAAAAGTATGAAATTACTTCAAATATTTACATGTATGTTACTGAGATCGCTGGAAAATTCATTGGAATATAATTACAAAATCTTAAGAATGACTGAACCAAAAAAAAGTGTTCTTCAAAGTGGCAACATCTGTGTGTTACTTTTAGATATATCATTTACTTCTACCATAAAAATACCAAAATGCTGTTCTAACGGATCCAAAAGTATTTAAATTCAAAATCTCTTCATTACTTCAGTGTTCATTAAATTTCTATGTTGATATATTATTTAATAACGCACAGATATCGTTAATTTAATCGGATTATTATGAAAGAAATTAAAGTTACTTATTAATCTAAACTGAGTAAATCAGTACCCAAATATATACATAAAGTCAGTACCATATACGAGATATTGGTACATTATGTTGTAGTCGAATTTGCCAGTAATTAGTAACCATCTAGCAAAATTAAGGCAATCCCGGAATTTCAAAAAAATCTTTATTAAATACCACCTATTAGTTGTTAGCAAGAAACGTTTTTATTTTATATTCACTGCACCAGAAAAATATGATAATGTATTATCTGCATTTTGTACATAGTCCAATTTCAAGAAAAATTAAAAAGTTAATATCACAATTATTAGTTTCCTTGCTAACACGCATTACTCCATCAATACAATTTTTAAAACCTAAACTGTGACCTAAATAAAAATTGGAGCCTAAAGTAAATTTTACTAAATACATAGACAAAATATATACAATTAAAATTAAAAGAATGATTAAAAAATTGGCTACTTAAAATATAATTGTTACAGTTGTTCACAGTCTCTATTTATCTCATTGCACACTTATAAACCACACTTAATACACTAAACTACATGTGAAGTTGGCAATCTTCATTTTTTTAATTTTTTTACTATACGGGTTCTGAAATAGAGCTGCACATTATACATGTTTTAGTAGCTATTATTCACAGTCTTAATCCTTAAAATAAAATTCCTTAAACACTAACTACCAAGATCAGCAATGCTTGGTGCATTTTATCAAGCAGTTCTTCACAATTTTAAACATAAAGTCCGAAATTGATCTGTGAGTCAAAAGAATTAAGATTTATTATTATTTTTAAGTTTAAAACGTGTACGATATCTAGCTGCAATATTCTCCATTCAACCGCCACTATGAACTTCATGAGTCCCTTTTTCGATAATCGTCTTTCATTTTTTAGGTAACATTACATACCGAGTAAGGAAGTGTTGCATTATTATCAAGAGACTTACTAAATCTCAAGACTCAAGACAGTAATGAAAACTTTCTTCCTTTTGTATACTATTTTATTTACAATCACACCATTAATTAACAAGTATTTTTTAACAATATTTTATATTCAACATTGAAACATTATTAAAAATAACAATTTATCATTTTTTGGTTTGATGCATTAAATTAATTCTCAATTTTTATTTTCTCCTTTGTTTCTTTAAATTTGTGTAACAATAAAATGTGATGATAATAAAGACAATTTTTACATTGTTACTCTACACAACATAAAAAGCTTAAGAAAAAAGCAGAAAGAAAAAAATGAAAGAAGACGAATGAGAGAGAAATATAAGATTAACATTTTTTAAGAGATATAACAAAACAAACAAAATTGTTAATGGCGTGATTTATATATAAAATTAGAAAATATTTTGAACTTGAAATAAAACAATTTTCAGATATATTTCATAAGAAACAGACTAGGTTGTGAGTCGAAATATTGCAGCTGTATCTGATATAAATTATAATAACAAAAGATATAAATGATTTCGTAAAACAAAGATTAGCTGAAAGTTGAAGAACTGCCTCAACAGGAATAACCTGCCAGTCTTATGGAACTAAAATATACTTCGTTTCTATCTAGACTACTCAAGGCAGTGATATCTGTACACACATTATCTACAATTCGTTACACCACTAACTAACCAATTACACTTTCAAATTATACAATTAAATGTACACTGATTTAGGCGCTTTTCCTATGTTTAGTAGTAATTTTTTGATTTTTTTTTTCAATCTGTTTTAAGATCGCTTTTGTAAGTAACATTTAGCAACTTTGAAAAGCAAAGGCACAATTTTCAAACAGAAACGTACAACAGTCCCCACCTAAAAGGAAGAAATGTGTGATCTGCGGCATCGTCTAAATGGCCGACTAAACATAAAATTGAGTCCGTTGCTTTTCCACAATTTTTTACAATTAAAAATGCTTAATTCCTAAGGTGGCGAACAGGTATTTTTTTTTGTTTACGAACTACACCAGCTAAATACATAATTAAAATGAGCAAGTAAAGTATACATATAACACACACTAAAAAAAGTTGCTGCGCGATTGTCTCTTTCTTCCTTACATTTGCATAGCATCCCTGACAAGTATTTGGTGTTTTCTTAGTTGCGCGTCTTACATTCTAATATAACCTAGATTATATAGAGACCTCAACTGATTATTTCATAAGTTTAATACCATATCCTAAAAGTTGTATGATCTTTTTGTTAATTTTTCGATACCTTTATATTTTACAAATATATTTTCAGCATTAAATAGGTTCTATTTATTTTGTTATGTTTCATTTTTGGTGGAAACATCGTCAGTATAACAAGGGGGTCCGAATTGTAACCCGTAAACATATTCTGCAGATAAAAATGAGTAGATAAAGAGTAATAGAAGGCATAGAAGTTTAATTTTTGCTTCGTTTTTCTTTTTTTTTCAAATAATTTCTGAACTAACGTAGATATTTGGATGAAAATTGATGTATGTGTTTTTTGATGTGTAAAATTCGAATTCGTTCATTCATGAATTCGAAGTCATTCGATGTAAATTTCTCTTACTTGTAGGGGGCACCACCTACATATTTCATAACTGTTTTGAAGAGTAATAACTTTTCGGTACGTACTTGAATTATTACACTACTGAAGAAAAAATAAACATTTTCTCTCTATTTTATGTTAAAACGGTCTTTAAATTAATTAAAAAAATTAAATATATTTACTAGATAGTAACTAAATTTGAACACGTAAATATAATTTTCAAAATTTATGATAAAACAGTTTCTGTTGAACCTTGGTCATAAAAACATTTCCAAATTTATTACTTTATCTAGTCAACATGTTCAATTTTTGTCAATGATGACATGTATTGATTATTTAGATTCCAAACATCTTGCTCATCGCGATTTTTACCAAGAGACCATTTTTAAAAACGACGAAAATGTATATTTTTCTCTCAATAGTGTAATACGGACAAAAAGTACTCTTCAAATCGGTTAAAAATATATAGGTAGTACAAGTAGGAGTGATATTAAAATCAAAATCGAATTTCTCATGTCAAAAAACGCCCAGATACCAATTTTCATCTAAATGTCGACGTTCTACACCCTGTATATTCGAAAGAAAGCATTTAAGAACATGCATGTATACACACTTGTTTTACTTATTTTTATCTGCAGCATATGTTGACACAGTTTTCCGATTACAATTCGGACCACCCTGTATATCTCGAATCAAAACAATGCACGCGCACAAAGGTAACGAAAGATTCATTTTATATTTTTGTTTTAGGTTGCTTTATACCATCCTCGGACTAAAACTGTACGAAAAGAACAAATTTAGATATTATATCTAAAATCTTCTTGGAATTCTTACTATGAATTTCCTTTATGAAAATCACTTTACAATGTTTAAGTTGAACAAAAATACAAGAAATTTAGAGGGAAATGTTTGACGGTGACTGGCGTTATCTGTGAACAGATTTCGCCCAGGGTCAGTCCCACTGATGAGGGGAAGGTGGCAATTCTGAAGGGTGCGCCACAGTAGAGCTGTAACAAAAAATAGTAGGTAAGTTAATTAAATGTCTATCGTGATTTCAGTTGGCAAGTGTATGTTATTATGAATGGCATTAAGTTTCCAAAACCATGACTAACAGCACATAGCGATAAAATTGATTTTTAAGCTCAAGATACTTTGTGAAAAGCAGTTCCTCATTATAAGAGCAGTGTCGTAGTAGTGTAGACAAATTTTACTAAATAACTCGATCTCATTTTACATTTTAGTACTTGAATTATACATTATAAACTCTTTTCTCCTTAAACATTTTATTAACTAGTATTTTCAATTCATTTAGAAGCAGTTAATTTAGACGAATTTAAAAGCAGATATCATCAGTGGCGCTATTAGTTGGCAGTTAGGTAATTGAGTTAAAGAGAATATAGAGTGTCGCAAGATAGAGAATCAGCCCCTCAGTGAATCAGATACATCTCCGTAGTGGTTATTAGTTGTCACTGTCAAAATTGAAATTGCTAATTAAAAATATTTCTAAATATCATCTCTTTCTAGTAATATTAATAAATTTAGTCATAATGCGCAGAAATTTTGGATGATAACAGTTGATTTAAACCAATCTGAACAGTTTATTCCCCGAATCTAGTTAGTTATTGACATAAAGAGAAATTTAATATAAAATACTGCTCAGTTCTCATTTCTATACCTTATCAGAAACTACTCATGAAGGACATATTTAATTATATCATTTAATTTTCTTCAGCACAAAAATCTACAAGAATATTTTTTGTCGTGGCAACTGGCAACTGTAATAGCATATTACGGAAGAACTTTTTGTTATTGTATACCACACTCGCCCTGTACAATAGAATAACTTTTACTGGAAATTACTAGGAAGAGTCGACAAATCTCTTTAAAATAACACATTCACTGGTCCAATGCATAATCGCTAGCATTTCCTAGTCAATGTTAACAATCACTGAATTTCCAACTTTCACTGTAATATACCGGGTGCGTCTCCAAAGTGGCTCACCCCCTATAACTTTTTTATTTTTTCAGATAAAAAACGAGATTTGATATGTTAGTATATGACATAAATTAGGATTGATTGGTGTATTCAATTGTTTTTCGTCACTTCCTGTTTTACCGGAAATGACTACAACTTTTGATTATTAAATGGCACCCTCGGTATTTTTTTACTTTATTCGATAAAACATGACATTCTGAATCGAATGACATCATATGTCAACTTTTGACATTCTCGGTTAATAAAAAATTGTATTTTAAAATTCAATCTAGAGTGTCAAGGCTATATTAAAAACACTAATTTTTCATCAAGAAGGCTTGGAAAAATAGATTTGATCGTCTAATGTTTTTAGTGTCTTGTCCTGGCTAGTTAGAAAATGCTCAGATCGTATTTTAAATCATGTCTCAATTTTTTCAAATGGAACGAGGGTGGCTCATTAGCATATTTGGAAAAAGCATTTTTTTACGAATAATTTGATACCACACACTTGGTATTTCGGGTCAAATTTTCGTTACAAACCGCAAGTTATAATTTCAAATAAACCATATGCGAAAATGTCAAAAGTTGACATACAATATGTCATTCTATTCAGAGTGACATTTTCTATCGAATAAAGTAAAAAAATACCGGGAGTGTCATTTAAAAATCAAAAGTTGTAGTCATTTCCGGTGAAACCGTAAGTGACCGAAAACAATTGAATACGTCAATCAATCTCAATTTATGTCATACTAGTTGAAGCCTGGCGCATCCGTCACGACATCAGGAAAAAAAATACTTTTTATTTTTTTTAATTAAATGAAAAACAAAAAATCCGGCGACGACAGTTTTTAGAAGAGCCAGTTAGCTATCTTTTAGTAAAAAAAGCTAAATAACTTTCTAGAGCAAGTCGTTACTGCAGTAGAGACGACACAGATAAACATTAGCATTTTATATATTATGTAGATACTAACATACTAAATCTCGTTTTTTTAACTAAAAAAATAAAAAAGTTATAGGGGTGAGCCACTTTTGAGACGCACCCAGTATATTGTATGTTTTAGCAATATAATAAATCACATGCCATTAGGATCGCCAACAGCATAATACTATGTAAAATATGTTCTCCATCGAGTAAGAATAAAGGTAAGTTAAATTATATAAACTGAATTGTGTGATGGGTTGAATACCATCATAAAAATCTAGTAGAGTACACTAATCTTAGAGACAAATAAATGTTCTTTAAAAAGAAAATTTTGAGACACAATCTTGAAAGTCAAAAAAGTTTAAAGAACATTTAAAATCATACTTTGTATAAATTAGTTTATATAATTGAATTTTAAATCTTGTTATAGAAGTAAAGGTATATAATTTTTGTTTTTAAATACATTTCTTAGTAAGAAAGCGATTTTAAAAAGAAAATAATTTGTGCTGTTATCAATATTGTTGTGAAGTAATGACACCTTTTATTAAGATTAGTCGCCATCGGTAGAAAATATCTAACTTTTTCATTTCACATTTTTCCAATCATTTAGTAAAAAATAGTTTTTTTATTTCAGTAATATTTTTATCATGTTACATACTGTATTTTCTCAAATATAAATATGTCTTAAGTACATATTTCTAAAACTGGGTCGCACTGTTCAAATTTGTCATATATTGTCTATTTATTCTTGTCAAATATTAATCTTACGAAATATTACAATTTCAACAAGTATAGAAAACTTTTCAAAATAATTATGCTAAATAACTTTATGGTGAATATCATTTGAGAAAAATTAATTTAATATAGATATCTATCTTGGTAAAATCATAGGGATGTCTTAAGGTTGTGACACCGGCTGCGCCGTTCCGCGCCGCGCAAAACATTTTTAAAGTGTGCTTTTGAAGTGTATTATTTTAGCGCGAACAAAAGTATACATATGTTAAAAAAATTATTTGCGCGGCGCGGAGCGGCGCTGTCGGTTTGAACGACCAAACCAAACCTTTACAATTAAAATAAGACAGAAGTGTCTTTATGAGCATAAATTGATAATTAAAAAAATGATTGTAAAAAAGAAGTAGATGATAAAAGTTAATATTAGAAAAATCACAAATCAAAATTATTCCTAATAAAAAGTGTCATTACAAGAGAAACAAAAACAAAGAAAATGATAAAAATTCAAAATAAAAGAAAATAAAATTTCAACTGACCTAAGGGAAAATCACGCAGCACAGAGAAAGATGACGGGTGATAACAGAATTTCTAGGGTCTTCTTAAAGGGTGCACAGGCAACTTTCTCTTTCCTGTATAACAACCATCATCTTACTTCTTACTACCCGTTTAATAACATCCAAAGCCAATAGAATTACATCAACAATAACAAAGCATTTTGATATTCATATTAAAAAAAATGAGAGAAACCTTTGATTAAGTCAATTTAATCAAAGTTGCCAGAAAAATATATTTTTTTAAGTTTGCATCATCTCTGTACACATATTCAAACGAAACGTTTTGAAAACCCATTAAGAGAACATCTAAAACATTTTATTATTAAATATATTTTGTTCATGTATTTCTATCGATTTGGAAGTTATCAAACGCGGTGTCTACGTTAAAATAATTCACAAAAAAAATTGTGAACATTATTCATTATAAATTATTTGTGAAGGTATATTTCCATAGCTTTCTAGATCTTAGTAGTATCATAGCTGATTTTTTTACTAAATTTTTATTGAAAATCGTTATTACCGTTTGATATGATCCATTAATGTGTGAAGTGTTTGTAAGTTTATTGTCAGCTAACTAAAAAATCTGCTATTGCCACATCATACATTTTTTGAAAATATTTCATCTACAACGAAATGCTTTCAAAAATTCACGGTGGCGTAATTCATTTTTAGATATTTTTCGGGGCAGCGCACAGTGTGAAATTTACGGGTTGTAGCTGGAAAAAAATATTTCAGCGACTCTTTTAATGAAATATTAGTCTTTTTCGTTTTTATATAAGAAATTTTATCAAGGCAAGGGGAAGATATGCAGCCTAATGGGCAAATTCGTGACAATGTTGATTTGATTTCCCCTTACGTTTCAAGTCCTGTATGGTGGAGCCTCTACTCGTTCTGCGGTCAACGCATAAAACACTCATTTTCTCTAATTCACCTAGCGAAGACATACAGAAGACCGTGTGGAACTGAAAGCGACAGTGTTGCCATATTAAAATGTGTAATATCTTTAATACGTTTGACGAAAATAGCTTTGGATAAAAAATCCGCGCTTATGTATTGAAAATTTATTCGTGTAAAATATAGAATAAATAACAAAAATAAAAATAGAAATTCCTTATTATTAATATACGGTACCCAAAATCCGTTAATCTACGGATTAATCCATAGTTCATGCAACACTGTCTCCGGCAACTCTGTCGACTGAAAGCAAAACTTTATATTCTTTATCCGCTGCGCTGTAAACGACGGTCAGCGCGCAGCGACGCAGAGCTAAACTAAGGATCTAAGGACTTTTTATAAGGATGCGCATCCTCTTATTTCTTCAATCAACGACAGTAGCTACAATATATTTTAGATGGTATTGGAACAAAAGTCGTAAAACTTAAAAAAAACAATTCATGATTTCTACGACGATTTGTCAATCTGTATATTCTTTCACACTGATCATTAAGACTTACATAAAGAAATTAATACAAGTGCCGTTTGATCGAAAAAATAAAATGAATCAAGCTGGCTTTAAAATGACAGTCAATGATATTCATAATATATTTTTACATATGAAATGATTTTCATTTCTAAAGCAACTCTGACGCTTTTTTTCGACCGTAAGGTACATCAACACAAGTATTAAGAAATAATAGTGTCACACTATAATGAATAATGTTTACAACATATTTATTAATATAAACTTGACTTCCATGCATAACAAAGTTTAAAATACATTTAAAATAGATCTCTTGTACGCAAAATTAGGTCAAAACCAAGACAAAAACCAATTTAGAAAACACAGGAGATCCATCATAAATCAATTTCGAAAAAAGCAAAAATCTACTGCTACACTACTTAAAAACCCAATCTACTAATAAAACAGTGTTTGTTTACGCACGCGCCAGCATGGAAATCATTGATATTTGGATATGTACGTTAGGTGTGTTCTGAGTAATTATGAAAAAAAAACAAATAAAAAAGAAAAAAGCTAATACCCTATTACCCACCGGTGTACGTCTATTTTACATTTTTCTATGACCAGCTATATTTTGAAATAAATATTCAAAAGCGTCATATGAAATAACAGCCAAATTGAGCTATTAGCTAAATCAATCACAGGATATTAATGTCCACAAACTTTATTTACAAACCATATTAAAAGAAAAATATAAATAATCATGATTTTTTTCGGTTTAATACATTTTATTACTTTAGGTTTTCTATTCCAAACTAATTAGATTTCTTTTGTATTTTAGTTTTTGTTGCCGTTAGTAAAATATGATTTTTTATCTCTCATACTTTACTATTCCAATAAAACTCACCAACTCAAAGATTTTTGGACACTTAACATATTTAATCTAAGCAATATACAAATACTAACACAATCTTTTGATCATGAAATCTGATTTCTTTATGTCTAATTAACTCTATAAAGATACCAATAAATGCCGTTTTTCACCTAAAAAACAAATGCTATACAAATGTATGTAAAATATATCCTTCCCCATGAAAGTACCAAAAAGCAGATGTAAAAAGGGAGAGGAAAATACGTTTGATCGAAAAAAAATGACGTAAAGTTGGCTTGGAAACGACAATTCAACGACGTTCCAGAATATATCAACTGACATCGATCATAATTTCCAAACCAACTCTGACGCCATTTTTTTTCGAACTATAACATATAATCAGACGAAGATAATGCTAACAAAGACATTTAGTACAAAATTTACTCGGCTGGAGCTTCTGAGATATATATATTATGTATGGGTATTTGAAACGTCACAAAGCCATACAGTAATACAAATTTGAATTAGTTAGTGTACATAAGCGTATTTTAATATTCTAAGCTTAATTAGGTATGCCATGCCGGTAAATAATTAGAGATATAATGGCGCTCTTGGCAACGTCGATCGATAGATATAAGGCCGGGTTCAGATACTAACACGGCAATACATATGCCAAATTAAGCGTAGTACAGTCGAATATACACATCCATTCGATCAACAATTGATACAGAGACAATTCATTAACATATTAGATTAATTTACAGTTTTTTTAAATATAATATAAATTTTAAATGTGTGTGTGTGTATCTCTGTATAAAGTAAAAAAATAAAAAAAGTAAAGCAAGAACAAGCAATTATTTTTATGACAAATAATGAAAACATTTTGAATTCCTTGAGAAAATAGTCAAATCAAGAATAATGTAATTTTAAATAAAATGTAATATTGTTGAAAAAGGATTTTAAGCTCAACGTAAATATGCAAAGAATACGAGCATTTAAAAGTCTTCAATTGGGCTCACTTCCAGTTAAACTGAATAGCTTGTTATAGAGAATATAAGCTTCAATTTTACTAGGAGTCATGGTGACACGTGACATGTAATATATCAGCAGTTCACGATTGGAAAATAACGAACTTTGGATTAAAATACGAATTAGTTTAGAACCTAGAAAAAACGTTTGAATGAATATGTTGTATAGGTACATATCATATAGAAAAGCCGTTTCTAACATTTCTAAAAATGGCTTCTCCTTTATATTCCTTTGTCAAGTTTGCAAAAAAATGGTCATCCCACTTCTGATATAGTAGGCTTCCAAAACCAAGATTTACAGCTTCTTGTTAGAAGTATTTGTTATAGATTATGGGAAAACAGAAGCTTTTATATGCACCAGTAGAAATAAAAAAAAGTAATGATTTTAGTTAACGTCTCCTTTTTGCTGCCAGGGCTAATCTGGACGGAGTAGAAATAAATGTATATAAATCAACGAATTTGTCAATTTTATCGCTAACTTGCTAACTAAATTTTTAACCTCATGTGCAGAACGTCATTGTAGAAAATTACTACGTCTATAAAAATCAAAGTGCATATTTGAAATACATTGTCCAAAGGTCATTAGAAACAACAGGGAGTCTCGTATAGGTCTACATAACAGTAAGTAACGTACACCGGAAGGTAGGAGGCGGCTTCGGTCACCTATGCAATGGCGCTGCGCTGGAACTGGACTGGCGGCGGCCGTCTTACCTGGCGAAACTCTTGAACGCCGCAGATTGGGGATTGATACAAAGCGGTACCCTACTGGTATTCAGTTGCTCCGCAATGAACTTGTGCATTTCTTCTGCAAAGAAAAAAGTGTGTTTTAAGTAAGAGGAAATACGCTTCTTTAATAGATCATATAAACTTTGATGTCACCATATAATCACCACACATTCACCGCCAAGAAAAAAACAAATACAGTATTAGTAAATATCATTGTATATTATTTAACTAATCTAAACTTATCTACAAAGTAGTGTAGAAAAGTTTATGAAATGAATTTTTCTAGAAAGGTATATAATATACACCTTTGTGGCTGACTAATACTTAGAGAAAATACTGGCTTTTTTGCGACTGAAACAGAAATATAAAAGATATTATTATTTCTTGTAGAATACCACTGCGTTATAATCCAAACAGAAATCAGTCGTTTTTTAATTTGTTACTACCAACCAAAAGAACTTAACGCTTTTAAAACACAAAAAAAGATTTTATAAATAATTACATAAATCTATAAATTTTTTCTGTATAAATTGCACAGACAAAAAAATAAAGCTGCAAATCTAATCCACTTCGTAAATCAAATTACCTACAATGACTTTATTTTTCATTTTCGCAGGAGTAGTGGAATTTTACCTCTCCAAAAGCCAATTTACACGATGTTATATTAGCTGCAGCGATAAAGTTGTACTGATTTATAATTTTTATGGTCATGCGAAATAAATGCAACTTTTTATAACAAAATATTTTGTTACAAATGGCCAGTAAAACAAACGTTGGCAAAAGGGAATATTAAATAGTTACTAAGTTGTAAAAACTAATTGCACAATAGTTAGATAGATAGATATACATATATATTCAGTTCAATAATATTGCATAACAATATTCTTTAATTAATTAACCATCCTATACATACTATTTTCTGAGATTATGTAGAATCAGTTTAGATTTAGATTTGTATAACAATTGTAACTATTATATTATTATTATTATTATAACATTTGTGGCATTTGAAATTCGAACAGTACAGATAAAAAGACTGTAGTACAGCAGCTATATTAAGGTTTCAAAAAAAGTGTATTCCACCGTTTATTTGTACGTATCGTTGAAATAGGTATTTTATAAATTTAACTAACCTTTAACCTGTTGCACCGCTGTTAGTTTCCGTTCCCAGTGGTCGTCGAAAGGCTGCGGAGCGGTGTTTTCAAACTCGGAAGTGTATTGCCGCATTCCGGTAGCCGTCGTGTAGCAGCATTTGCACATGCACGAGTGGTACCTCAACCTACCTTCGTCTAGGTACGGATGTGCTAGTGCGTCTACTACCGTAATTCGCTTGTCCTGAAAATTATATTTAAATGTTATTCGCGAACATCTTAAAACGCCTTCTCTATTGGAGCATTATAAAATATGCATATACAGGGTGTCCCAGAAATAAGTGCAAGTATTTTAAGGGGTGCTAGATTTCGATAAAAGAAACATATTTTCTCTTTATCGTTTTTCAAATAAATCCAAAACAACCGAGTTATTTCACTTTTAAAATTTCCAATTTTTTGCTAAAATTTTGAGAATCACTGGATCTTTTCTGGATTTTCTTTTTTGTAAACTTAATCTAATACCTATGTTGCCATATTATCAAGAAATTATGTTTTTTGACTAAAAACTAAAAAAAAATCTAAAAAATTTCGAATTTTCAAAATTTTTTCGCGAAAAAACCTCATAGGCGTGTTTCTGGAGTTCAACTATTATACTACCAGTTAAAATATTTGCACTTATTTCTGGTACGCCCTGTATAAACAGGTTTTTGCAAGAAAACATTATGTATAGTTCATATCAATTAACTTTTAGTTACGTAATCGAGAGCACGATTTTTAAATTCATTGTTGCCAACCATGGAAATATTCGGCGCCGGGCTGACTAACTAAAATTTAAATTTCGCGCTGGGGATTCAGGTGGTAGCTCTGCTGTAAAAAATGTCAAGTTACCGCATTTATTTATTTATTCCCTGACATTGTCATTCGTTTTGACACTTTAGTTTTGTATTACGAGTTTTTGGTTTAAATAAATAGTGCTGATACTTTAAAGCTTCATTCAGAACCTCGAAATCAGTGGAATAAATTAGTAGTTTCAATTAGCCGTAAAAGTTTGATAACCTAATTTTAATGTAAGCATTCAGAACGTTATAATTAGTGGTAGTAATTTTCAATTATTGGAAAAAGTTAACAAACTTTTGACTTTTCCACTAATTATACTTCAAAATTTGCGAGGAATGTCATTATGACCTTTGATTATCACCCGTCAAGAAAAATTTTGGTTAGAAATCAAAAGTTTATTGTTTTATAAGCTAAACATTATGCTTTCTCTATGGATACAACGGACTACCGCAAGCTGTTGCTAGGATATTTCATAATTTCATCTTTAATTGTGTTTTTTAGACATGGTGAATGATCGTAAACTAAAAAGTATAAAGTGTAATTGAAACCACTAATTTATTCTACTAATTGGGAGGTTCTGAATGAAGCTTAAGCTTTAAAATGTTGACTAGCAGGCCTTGTAGTCTAACATTGTCCTTTTTAGAACCTCTTTTAGTGCGAAGTGTACAAGATAGCTTAATAGCCGTAAAAAACTCAACTTTATTAGAATATTTTGAACGGGAAAGCGGTAGTAATGGCCCTTTATCTCCCTTAGGTGCTGTTAAGAAGGTGAGTTTTGTTGATGTAAATAATAACTGTTTATATATTTATAAATAATTTATTTTTGTTTCGTAAAATATTTTGATGAAAAGAAAACATGTAAAAGTGGGCAACGCTGTACCGGTCAAGCTTAATCACGTGACTAAAAGTTTAATTGGTATGAACTGTAGTTATATGTATAACAGTTAACTTTTAAGATTTTTTATCTCAAAAAAACACAAATAATTGCTATGATACATTACAAATTTAGTAATAAAACTAAAAATAGTTTTATTTTTGAAAACAAATTATATGACAATATGTAATTGGAGTTTTTTAGAACAAAGTTTCTTTTTGAAAAGGAGTCAAAGACAGATAGAGATTTGGGTGGTGACTATTAAATATTTCTGATACTTGTGAGCTATATTTATTTTTATAGACAAATTATAATTAAAAATGAGTAATCCAGGAAAAAGTTATATAATTTCATTTTATAAGTAGCAACTCAAAATCCGGATATGTAAGTCAGCTAACGTTTTTCATTTTTTGTAAAAATTGGTAAATACTAATAATTTTCAATAGTTGATCCACAGTATATCTGGATAGGAAAAAAAAAGATAAATTACCGGGTCGAAAACCAACATCTGGCACAGCAGATGTACAACTTCATGCGTAGCTTGCGAGGAGAGAGTGTACAGCGCCGACAAGCAGGGGGGCTTGGGCGCTCTCCTGAGCATATGCGTCTTGGCTCCTTCGCAGGCGTACTTCATATCCTCCAATGAAGGGGTTCCTAAAAGTTCCGTGATAAGCTCCAATTGCTGTACTGGATTTTGGGCCTAAAAATCAAATTTGAAAAGATATTAATTCGACTGTATTTTAACTCTGGAAAAATACTATACAATTGAAAAAAAACGGCGTCAAAAGGCTGGGGAATAATAATAGATGATAATTTTGGCGAAGTCAAGCCCTAGACGTCATTTACTAGTGGCGCTTACAGCCGGTGGGCCGTATGAAGGTTGTAATTTAATTTTATATGAAATAAAAATGATTTTTAAATGGTGTAGTAATTCGAGAAAAATAATTTTTTGGAAATAGATTTGTGTCTGGAAATGTTCTATCCTTTTTTTAATCTTTCTACAGGGTGATCCGAACTGTATTCCGTAAACTTCGGCAGAGAAAAATAAGTAAAAAAGTTCTTGCAAACATATGTGCTAAAATGCTTAGTTTCGGAGATACACGGTGTTCAAATTTCATTTTTATTTCGATTTTTTCTAAATATATTGTGAAGTAACGTCAATATTTGGATGAAAATTGGTGGTTCGAGTTTTTTTGACATGAGAAATTTGATTTGATATCAATATGACTCTACTTAGAGGGCACCATACATATTTTTTAACTGGTTTGAAGAGTGCTACGGAAAATCACACAGATTTTTGGAAAAATTTTGATACCTGCACACGCACACAATCGTCAATTAAAAAAAAACTACTATTTTAGTATTTTAAATATTTTAATAAACGCAAAAATAGCACAGTATTTATAAGGTGAAGTTATAAAAATTTGGAAGAACTAATAATGCACTGACGTACACAAAAATCAAACGAATACTAAATTTCATTTTTCAAAAGCATTCGATAGTCGTGGCTCAACGATAACCATTTAGTTGCACGGCGAGGTTGTCACATATGCTATAGTATACAAATGAATGAATGATTTTATTCGAATAAAACCATTCGATAGTTGAAATCATTCATTCAGTAACCATTCGATAGTCTAATTCATTCGATAGTTCCCATCGCTACTCCTTATCACTGTGTGCATCGAGACAACCATTCCTGCCATAAACTTTGGTACAACTGATATCGAAGATCGAGAACTAACCTCTGTAAAACCGTCTCATATACTGGCATCTGTCAAAGATCTGAGGCTATATAATGGGTTATAACTCAAGAAAGGGGGATACAATATACAAGCACACTAAGCTTATGACCAATGTTTTGGTGTAATGCAATGCAATTTAGGTTGCTCTATGATACACCAGTGCAGTATAATAAACAGACCTATTAATTGATTAGTAAACAAAAAACTGAATTATCGTAATTTAAAAGCTAAGAATATAACTAAATAGATGCCTAGTTTTCGTAAAAAACACAAACATTCTGCTAGCCGAACGTACACGCACTTATTATAAAGCGTTGGTAATATTCGGAATCTTAGAGTAAATTGTTGTGATTTACAGCGGATCTGGCCCAGTTTATTCATTAATGCTTTGATCTTCAAAGAAGCCGCCGTTAATTTACTCTTAGTTTAATTAATCTTAATTAAGCTTTAAATTTCATAGTTATCTCCTAGCGAAAATAATAATATTATTTGACTAAAATTCCATTTCGTCAATTGGCACTAAGTGAGCAACAACAAATAAAATCAGTTGTTGTTGGTGAGTTCAGCTGACATTGTTTTTTTTTCTATTGAAAAATTGAAATTGACTTTGTCATTTATGAGTTCTACTCAAATGTTCTTTTTTTATAACAACTATTTTCAGATATACAGGGTGATATACCGGCAATAGTGCGTCGGGCATACTGAGCTCCTAGAATAAAAAACTTGAGAATTTTGTTTAAGTGCAAACCTAAAGTATGTACCAGGATGTATTTCAGGAAAATATTTTAACTTCTATAGGGTGGCTCAAAAAAGTGTGAGTGGATCTGGATGATTTTTTTAAATGGAACACCCTGTATATTATTGCATTTTTAGGGAAATATTTTAACTTCTATAGGGTGGCTCAAAAAAGTGTGAGTGGATCTGGATGATTTTTTTTAAATGGAATACCCTGTATATTATTGCATTTTTGGCTTCCTTTCAGATCACTTTACATAACCCTAAGATATGAATAAATATATTTCGATAGTTTCAGAGATATTAAAAAACAAATCAAAAATATATATTTTTCAGCCCTTCTTAAAAAAACTATTAAAAACACAGGAACTGTTCTGAAATCAAAACTATATTAGGTATTTACTTTAGATGGTCTGTTCTTTGCTGTATGGTAATCGTAAATCATACAGGATGTTCAATGTTCTACGCCAACTTTCTAAAATATAAAATATATTTTTCTTTGTTTTTTTAAATGGAAAACCCTGTATATTATTTTTTATTAGATGGAGAGTTAAAAATGAACATTTTTGTATTTAGAGTATTTCAAAATTTTTAACGGTTTCGCAGATACACGCAGTATTATTTCATATGGCGTTTTCAATGGTAAAATACGAGAGAAAAATCATTGGGTGTGGCTTTGATAAAAATTTACTCTGGAAAATGCCATATGAAATATAAAACCGCAAATATCTGCAAAACCGTTAAAAATTTTGAAATACTCTAAATACAAAAAATGTTCATTTTTTAATTCTTCGTCTATTGAAAAAATAATATACAGGGTGTTCCATTTTAAAAAACGAAGAAAAATTATTTTATATTTTGAACATCCTGTATGATTTACGATTTTCATATTTATAGCAAAGTAAGTACAGACCATCTAAAGTAAATACCTAATATAGTTTTGATTTCAGAACAGTTCTTGTATTTTTAATAATTTTTTTTAAGAAGGGCTGAAAAATATATATTTTTGATTTATTTTTTAATATCTCTGAAACTATCGAAATATATTTATTCATATCTTAGGGTTACGTAAAGTGATCTGAAAGGAAGCCGAAAATGCAATAATATACAGGGTGTTCCATTTAAAAAAAATCATCCAGGTCCACTCACACTTTTTTGAGCCACCCTATAGAAGTTAAAATATTTTCCTGATATACATCCTGGTACATACTTTAGGTTTGCACTTAAACAAAATTCTCAAGTTTTTTATTCTAGGAGCTACAGATGCCCGACGCACTACTGCCGGACCCTGTATGTATATTGAACTAAGAGTATAATTTGAAAAGTTATTATATTTTTTCGCCAATATTTCTTTTTTATGAGATAATTAAAAGAAAATTTAATTTCCAGACTTTAAATATCACCATAATTTCTTTAAATGCATTCTCTCAATTATAACCCAACACCTTGATGTCGATATGCTGTCATAAAATTATGACTTCAAATCTTTCCGGTACGGTTTCTCATGGGGCATTTATTACCAATAAATGACGTGTTATTATTACGTTTTTGACGTTATTTTTTGTAAAGAATGACGGTTCTCGTTTATTCAACGTGACGCTACGGTGATGGCTTATTGTTTTAATTTAGGAAAAGTACATAGTATATGTAATATATTTTATTATGAGATGTAATATAATTTTTATAGGTATATCTACAAGAATTAATGCCGTTGCTAGTTGATTATATTCAGTTTTCAAAGTGACTTTAAGATAATTTTGTCTTTCTAATATTCAATACAATTTTTAATACTGTTTTTCATTACGATTTGCAAATAATGTCCACTTTTGTGGCAGGTTTGCTTCTTGAAAAAAAAGAAGCTTATATTAGGACAACTTTTAATCGGCATTAAACAGCCTACACAATTTTGCTAATAAGAGGAAAAACTAAGTGGTTAGGTTGGCGCACATGTTTTTTTAACAAAATATTCCAGTGATTCAATAATAATAAAAAAATTAAGACTAACTTGTAGCTACAAAATAAAGTAGAATCGGACCTATGTTGATCTAAAAAAAAACTTTTTTTTTACGGAAGGAATCTTCCCACGAAAGATGGCACATGATTTTTGAAACATCCTGTATGTGCTCGTATCCATTGTAAAAAATATTAAAAATGTGATTTTTAGAATACAATATCTATTGGTCTTGTCCGCAGATTTTTTTAAACATTAAAATTTTAAGTTAGGTTTTTGCTTTGATATCAATAGCAAAGTTACCATAGCCGTAAAAAAACGGCGATTCCAGATTCTCTGGGCAAAATGGGGAAACACCAGAATACCTCATTACTGAGTGCGTCGAGACAGCAACCATTCGTGCGATAAACTGTGGTACTACTGATATTGGAGATGGAGAACTACCCTCTGTACCCTGACCTGGGACTGTACGATGAGTTATAACTCAAGAAAGGGGGACACAATAGATCTGTAAGGTTGCGGTGATTAACTCCCCTCCCACTCATTCTTTTCTCTCCAGTCACTATTCTGTTCTATGGTGACCGCTGTGTGTGAAGTATTTTTCTAAAAATCGACATTTAATGTTATTATTATACGTATATTACACTGATGGGGTTTCAGATGGCTTATAATTATACAGGGTGAGTCTTAAATAAGTGCAAATATTTTCAGTACTAGTCGATCTCGATAAAATAAACGGATTTTTTCTTTAGCGTTTTTCAAATAAATCCAAAATAACCGAGTTATTTTACTTTGAAAATTTGCAAAAATATTTTTTTGGCTTAAATTTTGAGAATCACGGCTCTTTTCTAAGTTTTCTTTCTTGAAAATTTTAACTACTACTTATGTTGTCATATTACCAAGAAATTATGTTTATTAACTAAAAACTAAAAAGAAAATCCAAAAAATTTATCAAAAAATTTCAAATTTTTAAAATCTTTAGCGAAAAAAAATTGATTATCATGTTTCTAGGGTCGAAATATACTACCTCTAAAAATATTTGCACTTATTTAAGACTCACCCTGTATATACGTTTAAAACAATAATAAAAATATGTTTTGACGTTTTTGTAGATCAATATGTGCAATTTGTGCACAAAAAAATAAATTATCGTTGGTAATTGATAATTTATTTAGTACCGATCACCAAAATAATTATTAAACATAATAATAACTGAAAAATTATGATTTTTATGATCACTGTATAAGTAATAAAGTAATATTCAAAACT